TATGAGTGATCATGATCGAAAAAATGTTTATATAAATTCAGTTCTACAGCCAAAATTTTATAAAGTGTATTTTAGTACTTTATAAGTAAATTCTAGTTCGTAACGAATTTAAAATAATCTACATAGGTATTTTATAAAAATTTATTACGAAAATTATTTTATTATATTTCAAGCACAAATATATGTCACAAATATATACAATCCGTAAACAAAAAAAAGGTTACGATGATAATAGTTATCGGTTCTCATAACAGAATTCTATTAAAATAGAAAAGTAATATAATATATACTATAAAGATCATACATTCTGAAAGAAAAAGCGAATAGGTTCTAGCAAATAAAGTCATAAGCTAATAAATTTAAACCACACAATAGTAAGTAAACTGGAATAAAATTAAGCATAAATTTGTAAATAATGATTTCAAGAATCTTGTACAAGTACGATATCAAATTAAACAGCTGCGAGGCAATTAATACAATTAGTAGTAATTTAATGAATCCATACGATGCGTTTCGAAATACATACGTAGACAAATCTTGCGCGCAGAAGTTCAGGATAACGCCGCAATATAGTAAATTTTCATGGAAATAGAAGAACTTGATTCTGTTTCCGCTCGAATCGTCAGGAAAACAACATTTCGTTATTTTCTCGGTATCTCGAGTTATGACATCGTTGCATCGTTACAAAATCGCCTCGAAGGCGGCAGCAAACCAGAATGCTGAGATCAAGAAACACGTTGGTAGGTGCCAACTCTCACTTACCATGCGGAACTATCGACTATTAAATAACTCAAATGAAAAAAAATAACAGTATTTTTTTAATATAAATCACGCACGTGGTGAAACTTGTCACTCGTATAATTTTAACGGGACACGCTAAACGTACTTGAAATCTCGGTAGCTCCTCATTAGCTACTAGTCGGATCATTAATTAAATCTCATTTACGTTTCGTCCGGAAGAGATGATAAACTCTGCTTAGCCCGTGATACTTTTTCGTTAGTCTCTAACACGAAGTTGCCAGGCCCAATGTAGTCCAAACAAAAATTAGCAGTGTTAATGTTCCAGTTTATGTTACGATAAAAAAAATCAAACATTTGAAGTTAGTGTGATAGAGCGAGAAAACGTTTTTATTTCAGGAGAGCATTATTTGTGTAATTTTTTGTGGTAATTGTGGACGGTTGCTTGTTTATATATTATATAAAGTATGTACATATTTAGAAGATAAATAGAACATCCAGAAGGCAAATAAGCGATGGTAAAGTAACACTTTAACATAACTTAAAATTATCGTATAGAAAGGCATCCGTGCACTTATAAAAATGTCGTTAAAGAAAAAGTAACTAAATTCTTATTTTCTGTTGTGCTTGAGCCTGCGTTTCTTATTGCATTATTTGAGAAAAATTGAAGATCTACACAACAAGGTTTCCATATGTCTCAGACATAAGATAATATAATAATAACATAATAGTAAAACTTTTGAATAATAATATACAAAATAGTAAATGAGTACTAATGAACATATCACGATCTAACAAGAACTATCATGGAATAACCAGAGTTTACCATATAGTGATAAAACAAAGAGTAGATGACAAAATATATTTTCTATTCGTGTTGAATTAAGTTAAATTTATTATTTAAAAGAGAAACTCCAAAAGAAGCTAAACAAGCTTAATTTGGCAATTAAATTAATTAACGGGATAAAATAATAAATTATTGATTCATTTGGAGTAAGTCTCATGTGCGGCTTATTTTTTTTTTGTTAATCAACTGCTTGCATTTGTTATTAGCGATTGTGAGTTTTTAAATTATCAGATTTACGAGAGCCACTAATTTATTTTATGAACCATTCATTTCTAATACTATATTAAATTGGTTTCCACATTCTCCGAATCTGTTGTAAGAGCCATGCATTATGCACTATCAAAAACACATGATGAAGATAATAAGTAAACTCTGGTTTTCCCGTATTAACCGCTGCGCATTTTGGTTTTCAGCGTAAAACTTACATTGAGGTCCAATTTTTAAGTTTAGGGTATTAAATGTTTTTAAAATAGCGTAATAGCCTTAGTTGAAAATGCCGGCAGCAATGTAAGCGGCAATTTCTATTATTTTCGAGCCGGAATGCAGGTGCTTAGGAGCCAAACGCCCTACTGTAGAATTGAAACTCTCATTGGCGTTCTGTGTATGGCCGCCTAAGGACCTTTCTAAAAGATCACTCCTCGACGAGTCTTCATAAATTGTTAAGATATTCATAGGAATAACTACGATGTCATCATTACTCGTAGTATACAATTTTCTTGGCGAAGCACTCTCGCCTAGAGGAGCACTATCTTTTTCACAAAATTGATTTCCTTAGAAACGTCTTTTACGGCTACGGGAAGAACGAGAACTATCCCCTTTACTGCCTTTTGCGTACATTTTCCCGCACGAAAATTTCTAAATACACAGTACGAATTTCGGAGCACGATTGACTCGAGCAACGAAGCGCCGCTCTTCTCAGTCAGGTATACAAATGCTTACAAATATGTATACACATCGATACAAATACGTAGGCATACTACACAAGGTATAGGGATAGTCGAGTGTCCTATTGCATAAAAGGGACCGAGCGAAGAGAGGCCGAGCCAATGGGTCAGGTCTAGCGCGCAGGTGTAATATCCCCTATTTCAACTGCGAATTTCGCTCAGGGGCTTTAAGAATACATTTTTGAGATATTTTACTAATGATTTATGGAATAAATTTTTTTTCCATGTTTTGGTCCCGTTATATGAGGATCCCCCCTTAACCCCTTCACTACTACGGGTGACTATAGTCACCCGCCACAAAACGACACCCGCACACGACGGGTGACTATAGTCACCGGTCACAAGATGCCACCTATACACAACGGGTGACTATAGTCACCCGCTCCAAAAATGGAACCAAATGTTAAGATAAATGGTATCGCTTCGTGTATTTCTGTTCGCAAACAATTGCAAGCGCTATTGCAACGTTCGATTTTTTTCGACATTGTTTTGTCATTGACCCGTGGGCCTCAAATGTATAATTATACTCAGTTGGTCGTAAGTCGAATGTATCAAAATGTTCTCACTTTCGGCACGGCGCTCCGTTCTAGACGAGGTACTCCGCGGCGAGGCCCACCGTAGCGAAAGGGTTAAGCTCGTAGGCCCGCTGCTCTCGTGTCGACGAAAGATGCTGATGCTCCTCGCATAGAGGGTGGGTTTCGTTTGTAGGAAAGATAGAGAGATAGAGAGATAGAGAGATAGAGAGATAGAGAGATAGATAGATAGATAGATAGATAGAGAGAGAGAGAGAGAGAGAGAGAGAGAGAGAGAGAGAGAGAGAGAGAGAGAGAGAGAGAAACTAGAAATCGAAGCAAGCAACAGGTAGGCAATCCCGGTTTTCAACGTGTACATACCAACATGCACATTACATGTATATTCATCAACAAGCAGGTGCACCGCGATAAACGGGCGACGGGCATGCATATTAAACAGCAACGATTCAATGCTGCCCCGTGTCACGCTAATGAGGGGCTTAGGTTTTTATTGGCAAGTTATATTTCGTGATCCGGGAAACATCGATGAACACCGATCGAATCCTGACGAAGATTAAATAGATGATGGGTGGGAATACTGAACATACTAGCTAAAGTAATAGCTTCCAGAAACGATAAACAAGCTGTTCTAAAAGTTTCATCGTAGAATGAAAAATGTTTTATGAAGATAAACGTGAATAGCTCCCGGTTTCACTTCTATGCTTATGAACTCTTTAAGATACATTATCGTATGAGATCGATTCATTCGATCGAGTTTCGTATATTATTATATTAGACATAAATAGACTACGGATTTTATGCATTTATGGTATACAGTAAAGGACAAACATGTAAGATACAGTAAAGGACAAACATGTAAGATACAGTAAAGGACAAACATTGGATCAAGTTTAAGAAATTTTCTATTTTATTTCCATCCCACTAAAATTCCTGAGAGAAGAAAGAATTTTCAATTTTTACCCCTGTCTATAAATCTGTTCATAAAATGAAATTTTGCATAAAAATCCGCAGTCTAAACTCTGTACCATGTAAGAATAACGTCACGCTCGTACGAGTTTTCAACCGATCTACGCAGCCCTCACTACTGCCGACCAATTGCCGATTTTAGATCTCGTCCAATGCGTGAAACAAGGTTATTCTTACGTGGAACGGAGTTCAGACATAAAATTTATGATCAGAAATCCCTACTGCTTCGCCAATAGCAGGATATCTGAGTTGTATCTGACTGCGAGATTTAATAAACTTTAACATCATTTTTCAAGAGAACAGTTGAGTTCGAACCCATGGTGCCTTTCAGACTTTTTATCCCTACGATGAGTAGAATATAATGCAACGATAAAAAAATTTGACATTCACATTCAAGGTCAAAGTCCATTTTTGCGGCAATGTTTTTACCTCAATCTCCACCAAACCGAAGGTTCCGGAAGAATCCGGCTATAATAGCCACGACATGTAATTTCTTGACATCCTGTACATATTGTTGCGTGGCCGCGGCATGACTTCCGATAAATAAAGACAATGTTCATAAAAAGGAAGAATTATTTATTTGAAGAGGAGGAGTACTTATCTTGACACGTCTTTTCTGTTCTACGGTCGTACCACGACTCTACTTTGTCCCTGTTTTGGGCGTCGTTACCAAAACGACGCCGCTAATCCGAAGTCTCTCGCTTTAACATTATACAATACGTGCTACCTATCGGGTAACACATAACAATATTTTGTTTACCGTGTGTTATGGGTGTTCAAGTGTTATATTAATGCTGAAGGGACATACTTTGAATAAAATGAACGATTTTTAGAAATATGATCAGTGTTTGAATAACTACATTGTCGATCCCGTTATTTTTCAGAAATATTGCGCATTTGTTTACCGCACTGCATAATTTCACTGATCTGCAGAAGAGTTAGAGCTCACTGTCACATAGATATTTCGCGTGTCTAGAGACCACCGCATTCAGCTTTAATTTCTGCACGCAAAGTGAATAAGAATAAAACGTAAATACGTTTGCAATCACTCACCAGTCTGCGCCTGCGATACATGGGACGATGATCCAGTGTGCAATGATGGTAGCTTTCTAGAAGTAGGAATACTGATCACACCGCCCAGACCGGTGTGCACACTGCCGTGAGTGCTAATGGTAGAGTCGCCGCTGCTGCTATCGTAGCTACCCTCGAGACTTCTGGCCGGTTGGGGAACCGAGGAAATTCGATCACCTTCCACCCCAAATGGCTGTGGATCCACCTGCTAGGAAAAGATCAATTACGATCGGGGGGTCCGGGCGAGATAAGAAGCTTATTTGAAATTATCGCGACTGCGAGGTGTGTGCAGGAAATACACGGCGGGCAATTTAGCATGCATTATATGCCGCGGCAACCCGGCGTTAAGAGCATGGAGATACGAAATAATCATAGCTCGAACCGTGATTCTTTCGCGGGCAATCACGATATATATCTCCGATTTCAAATCAACGTTTCGACTACCGGCCGTCGATGATCCACTCGTTAACGGGATGATTTATTTCTAAAGAACACGCGGTTCTCGCGCGGTACGTAACTGATTTGCGCGATTCAATTTATAGAATTACAGTTCATGAACGAATATGCAAATCACAATGGCTACGGCTATCGTCTGCAGAGAATGACGTAACAATTTAGATTCACGATACTACCTTGAACCATTAGACCGACAGCACCTTCACGCTTCCTGTGTACAGGATATGGTTGGAGGAAGAACAAAAACTAGATTTACAATAATTATCACGGATACCTTTGGTTCATGCAAAAACTGAAACTGAAAACATGTTACATTGTAGATTCACGCGACAGCAAAGTGACGAGCATTTAAAACATTGTTCAACTGTTTTTTTTTTCCAAGATCATTACGTGCACTGAATGCATTAAGCTTCACTGTATTTGTAAGTATTGCAATGCAATATCAAATAAAATTATGTAATGTTCGCATACATAAAATAAGTTTGTGCAAAATGATCTAGTTCCAAAGAATAGAACATGTATATTACCGGTTAAGGGTTATGAAATATGTTCTGTCGCTTCTATTAAGTTGTTGCAGAATAAACTAGAATTAGAATTAGACAATTCGAAATATCTTCGAAAAGTGAATTTATGACAAGAAAAACAAACGACGAGAGTATTAAAAAATATTGTGTTAAGGTTTCCTACTGCTGAGACTGGTCAGATTTTAGCCCTTATTCCCATTAGCCGCTATCTCAACCATAATAAGGTATATGGCCGAAATTGATACCACGAATCTCACTCGTGAAATTCATGGTGGGCCCGAAATTCTGACCACGTGTCAGACACTTCAAAGTACAGCAAGGGATCAAGTTAAGGGGTCATATATGTTTCTGGACACTAAACGGTGGACAATGTTTTGCGAGTGATTGAGGGGAAACTATTAGATCGAATGGATTCATTTGTTTTGCTTTATAAAACCACATATTTATACAGTAGAAAAATGGAATAATAACTATTGTTACAACTATGTGTAGTGGCGTTGAACGGTTTTTGTAAAACTGCCTCAAATGGTGGGTATGATTCAGTTCATATGAATGATCCGAGTTCAGAGCTTTCGACATTTTTTACACTTTTTAGGATTATACAGGGTGATTCCCTCGCAGCGAAAACCAAAGGCCGTGCCATTCTAAAAAACCACCGTGCCGTGTGAGCGCGTGTGACTGGTTCTTTAAGGATTCTTTAAAGCAGCAAGACCTTTAGTTTGCGCATCGAGAGAATCACCCTGTAGTTTTCGGCGCGGGAGGGAATCTTTGCAAATAACGAAAATTGTGATAATAAACAACATTTTGAAAAAACGAATGTTGATTTCCATGAAAAAGCTTGTGCATTTTCTTTTATTATTCAAAAACGGTTCAATTTATTTACAAAAGCCTTTGCGAGCCGATGAAGAATTTCATTTAAAATATGTGTGTGTGAAAGATGACGTCGAGCGGATGAACGGAGAGGCAGTTATCATGTCCTCCATTTGGAAAATGCTGTTTCGTAATAAAATTAAAATTTTAGAAAAGTGTTGAAGTTACATCAAATGAAAATATGATAATTTACCTTTAATCAGCGATGCAAGCACCATAAAACTGACCCTCCTTTGGAGTATTAGCGTACATAATTGACAAAATAATTGTTAATGAATAATTTATTAATAATTTCTGACTCGATTTGTGGAGCGGCATGACTCTTTTTCATTCAAATGGCTGTTACAGCGTCAATAAATTGAATTTCAAGTTTGCTTTGAGCTTAAAATATTTCTAAGCATACGTTTAAAAAAAAAATGTTGTTTTGAAGTTGACAAATATACATGACCCCTTAAACAAAGGAAGCTTCTTCTCTTCATTTAATCAGCTTCGTTCAATCTTTTCATATATGCAGTGAATCGCGTTATGTGAAATTGTTAAGCACCCGGATTAATATTGCTATACAGTCCCCCTTTTCCACTACATGTAAAAGGGAAACATTTTTGTTTTCTTCTAATCAATTAGGGTTAGACCAGATACTTTTGGAACTTGTTGCTTCGATGTTCTAAGGTTTTTTGCCAATGGTACAGTCGTGATAATCATGTATTATTAGAGAACCTCGATTGCCACGGAAAATCCAAGCACAGGTACATGCAATTATTGAAATAAACAATCAAGTATTTGAAAATCCTCATTCTCCATATCTCTATTAGAGGTGCGTTAGAATAATCGCTTTAAAATAAAATTTTTTCTATTTTTTTTTGTTCGCTTACTTTTAACTGACCAGGTTCGTTTGGGAGTACAGTAATGTCCTGATAAGTGTGAATGCCTCGGTTCCGCAGAGTCACACTCGCGGTGAGCATGGACAGTTTTGTCAGCACCTCATCATTCTGTTTTTTCCTCGAAGCTGGACTCTCGGCAGCTTGCCTTTGTAGTGTTCCGACATAGAAAAGGACAAGCGACGTAGAGAACAGACAGAGAAAGCATCTCTTTCCACTCGATTCGACTTCGTGAGCCCGCCTGCGACGTTCCCAACGGCCAATGGTTACATTGTAATCGCTGCGGTTCGCGTTATCTTACTCGGTCTCGATGGGACTCGTTCGTTCTCTTCGTCATACAGTCAGATTGTGTGTGTGTGTGTGTGTACCGTTTCGGCCAATAATAAAAATATGTGTGACTTGAGGTGATCCAGCTACCACTGTAACGTCGACAGCTCTCTAAGCATTCGCTGACACTTAATTACTTCGACGAAGCGTCGTACATATGCATATACATTTCCCCGCTCTGTCCGTCGAGTCCGTCGTGCCAGTCGATGAGAAGAAAGAGACTTTTTTTCGACGGTGAGATCTTTTTGATTAAAATGATACCAAATACGACATAATTTGAATCATATTTACTCATGTAGAAAGTGTTAACAATTCATATTCGTTTATTAGCGCTTATGATAAATCATAAGTAAATATGATCCAAATTATATCGTGGTTGGTATCCTTTTAATCAGAAAAATCTCACGATTATGTTCGTAAAAGTTTCGTTAACAAAGAACCAAAAACAAAAAGTTTCATCGTTGCATTAGTTCCCCTCGTTCAGCCATTGGCTCGTGAAAGGGAAGCCGTCGCGGCGCGCTGGGCAAAAAATTATACGCTTGACTGGTTCCACGGTCCCCTTCCCCAGTGGTGGGGATGACTTCACACTTATCGTGAGCAAATCGACTCACGCTTATCAGGACATTACTGTATTGAGATTGCAAATATCAAAGCTCTGTGATACAATTGTGCCGTTCCATTTATCGATCTCATTGGAAATGTCACGCGAGTTGCTTTAAAATGAAATTTGTCCTTTCTTATTCTTTCACTGTCTTTCGATTGACCAGGTTTATTTGAAAGTGTCGAGACTGCAAATATTGAAACACTACAGAACGATTATGTGGTTCTATTGTTTTACAAATCCCCACTTAAAATGATCGCGTTAAACCACCTTGCAGTCGCGCAACATTGCAGGGTCTGTGAGAAGCAGCCCTACGGAACAAGGAAGGACTAACCTCCTCCGCTGCTCTGACTTTGACCTCGTCTTGCGCCTGGGCTCTTCTTAATGCTGTCTGGCTCGCCATCACCCGTTGTCGTTCCGCTGTGAGTTTACATCTTTCGCAGTTGCAGTAACGGTACTTGCAGTACCTTTTGTGGCCCTTCAGGGCAATTTTCAGTCGGTGATTGCGGCATCGAGCGCAATTTGGTGGCGTCCGCGGGCTAAGAGCTGAATTGGAGGACGAGGACGCATTCGTCTCCATTCGGCTGGGAAGGGAATCCTCCCCTTTGTCCATATTTCCTTCAAGTATAATCTTGACAAATATATTTCCACGAAAAAATTTAAGAAGGTGTCAATTCCGTGCGTCTTTTCTTTTTTTACAGACCGCGAACAGCTCTGACTTAGAGCTTTTTCATCCTCACTAGGTCTGAAGTTAAATGAAATTTGAGAAATTTAAGAAAGGTGTCTCAGTGAAGACGTCTTAGGGAAGTTGTCTTTATTCTTCTAACATATACTTCTTGAAGCGAAACCAGATCTTCGACGCCGTCGACTATCGAATTCCGATTTTTCCTTCTGAAACACAAGAATAATTGTGTAAGAATATATGTGAGTGCAAAACCAAGAGGAAGTTATAGTCTACTAATTGAAGTATTTTTACAAAATTTTAGATCAGCGATAATTATAAAAGGATCAATTTTTTAGACATAATAATGAAAGAAATAAGACATTGCGATGTAAGTATTTGTTACATCTGTTAGATACCGACTATATGTAGGATCGTTTACGTCATGTTACACGATTTACAACACTGAGAAAAAAGATATAGCACTCTTAAGAATTGAGCCCTTAAAAGCATTACTGGTGTAAGTCCATTTTTGATGAATGTTAGTTAACATCATAGTAAGATAGGCTTAACTTCATTCTATTTTGTGCATAAATGTTGTATGACGCTTCACTAATAACATAATAAGGTACATTGCGTAAATTATATCTATATAAGTTAATACAAAATCATTTCATTCTATTTTGTGCATAAATGTTGTATGACTAGCTTCACTAATAACATAATAAGGTACATTGCGTAAATTATATCTATATAAGTTAATACAAAATCTTTCTATTGTTACATACGAAAAATATCATCTAAAATACGAAGTATCAAACAATATCTCGATTTTGTAGAATTTCCAAATTTTACAAATAGTAAAAAGGGAATGAAAACATTATGTGTACATGTTACAAGAACAATTTCATTAACAATTCTCTTCAATTATTCTCATAATCCCTTTCCTGCCAACGAGGTTAAGCGAATACACATCAACATAAAAAAGTTACTCTTCTAGTGAAATTTGTTAATTCTGGAACAATAATGTATTGTACTTTTTAATTTCGTTAATTTAAATATGTATTTAAAAAGGAAAGTCAATGCGATGACGGTGAAATTTTAACGTTTGAAGACAAATTGTACAATTAAATCCCAACATGTGGCTGAACTCCAACGGAACTTCCATATTGAAAATGCTATGCGATCACTTAATCAGTGTATGTAATCAGGATGAATCCACCCCGCGATATCAGTATATGAAATTCATTCATCACATCGCCGTCGTCGGATTGCATTAGATCTACACCGGAGCCATTCAATTAGTGACCTGCGAGGCCACATCCGGTTATGATCTTATCGAGTGAAACGCGAAACAAGACGATAAATACCATCGACTATTGATAATTGGGTGCTTGTTCGAATAGTTCTATTGACGTGTTTGACTAATAGTAGGGTATTTGCAGGACGCTTAATATTCAAATTAAACATTTAATAAAAATCGAAATGTGCCAAATACGTACTACTCCTTCCATTCTTGCAATCATTATCCTGAAACAATAAACAATGATGTCTATCAGTGTGTTTCATACTACACGACTCACTGTTTATCAGAAACGTAACTTAGATTGACTTAACCTTATCATTATAAGCCATTTTTGTTTAGTAAGGCGGATTCGTCGAAGGGCGATTCGGTGAAACCACCTTGGGATGTTTGGGGTATCGACTTGGTTCGATTCCGAGTTGGTTATCGGATCCGTTGACAGAGAGATCGTAACACCGAACGATCCCTGACGGAAAATCTCAAGAGGTGACGAACCGGAGACTGACAATAAGCCACCTTCAATCTAAAGGGGCAGCCCGTATTCAGCCTCAGAGCAAGACAGGTCATATTAAGCAGTTCAACCTTATTTCGTGCTAAAGTTATTTAATCCCTTCCGATCCACCAAACCACCCATCGACAGTCCCGGTTATTCCCTTATCAGCACCGGATCAAGGGGGGTCTAGGAGGAGCAGTAGCCGCGGGCCTCAAGTTCTAGGGAACCCAGCTCTAAAACTTCTATTTCATTATGATTAAATGATATTTAATTTTATTTAAAATAAATTTCATTTTTCGAAGATTTATGTATTTTGTTGTGCTGTATTACAGCCTCACCCCCCTCACTTTTCAACCAGGGGCCCTCCAAAATCTGATAGCCCTGGGCCACAGAAAGTCTTAATCCGGCCTGTCCCTTATACATATCATTTAAGTAAATGCTGACACAACTTAGAAAGAGAAAAAAGAACGGGAAATTTTCTGACTGTCATTTAGATATGCTACTAGGAACCTGAAACTCGAGGCAACATTTATGTAAAACAACTTTTCACATAAAAACTACACAAAATGTGAGTATTTACTTTTTTCTAAACAATTACTGAAATCATAACTTATATACATAATGTTGGAAAATTGCATAATACTGGAGGTAAATGGACTCGTGGTTCTTAGTATAATATTTATTTATTTATATGATGTCATCTATTATCTCGACGATATCGTCTATGCAATTATCGTAATAGCAATATTGCCAGAATATCGATTTATTTAGTGTAACACTACGTTATATGTAAAAGACAAAAGTGGAGATAGGTTGTTCTTGTCATAGAATTAATCTCATTTCTAAATTCTGTGAATGAATCGACAATATTTTCGTGAACATATAGTAAAAATAGGAAATGTTTAATCTATGCTAATAGGATATCTGTTTCAGAATGACATTGTTGCCTGTTGTTGGCACCGAACCGGTTGCTGTTGTCTAACGCACTGCAGCCAATCTCGATAATTTTGCTCGGTCTCCTCATTGACTAGTTCGACCGAAGCACCCAGCCAGCCGTGAATAATTATGGACCCAGACCTCCATTTATGACCAACGAGAACGACACGTCGATACTTGTGGAACGTCTTGGAGAGATTACTGCACTCGAATTACACGTTTTATTTTAACTTGTTTACAAAAAGTAGTAAAAATTTACTCTTAAACTTAGGAATTCTGTTTAATACAATTTATTAACCAGTTTCTCGGCCGAAGAGAAGAATTTTATAATACATCACATCTTCCATATTCATTGAATATACTTATATTATTATAAACATTTATTAGAAATGTGAATTTTTCAACTTATAGACACATGTACTTTCTATTTTAGCGAAACTATTAATCAATGGATCATATTGATCTATCGTGAATAAGGCACTCGTGTATACAATATTCGAAATCATCATTACTTTCAACTTACTATTTTCGTGTGTAATTAAAATGATCCTGATCCTTTTCCAATATTTATTTACTTGCACAAAGGCTGTGAAAGAAAGCAGAACGAGTAAAAAGGTGGAAACTGATGCAACTACAATACTTAAGTACAATGAAATTGGAATCTAGATATATATATGTTACGTCTTTTTATAACCCCACTTGTGCGACTAAAACAAAAAGTTAGTGCCTGCTCGGCTGTCCCTGCACGCATCGTATATAGCATCCAGGAAACATTAAAAGAAAAACTGCAAAAAATTTCGTCAGAATTTTGTATATATGAGACATTTATGCGTTTTACAAGCGTAAGAGACATAAGAGTTATTTTATTGGTTAATATGGTTTCTTATTAATTAGTAAACACAGTGTCTTTGATGTAATATATTTTTTGGACATGTAACATCTCTCCCATAACATGAGTAATTATTTCGTATTTTTTCGTAGTATATGAATGTGCTATTGTAATAAAAAAAATCGTATTAATTAGTACAAAACCAAAAAAATTATTGGCTCTCAACCAAAAAGGGTGGCGTCTCTCCTGAGTTTACCCTACAGTTAAAGTTCAGTATGGTAACACGTAGTAACTTTTATAACATAATTTAGGCATCCATAAAATTCCTTTTAGTAAGGGAATGCATGTAAATACTTTTTTTATCCATTATACAGACTCTTCTCGATTATTGTCCCGAACTCGGATCCGCGCCGGGATTATAGTCGTATAGGACGAAATGCTTCAGACCCTCGTGAATTCGTTTTTTTTGCCCGAAGCCCTAGCCTCGGTAACAAAAACGGAGAGGCAACAATGTGTGCGCTTAACGGGTTCCACGCCCCCCCCCCCAATGGTGGGGATAACGCCTGAACAATAATCGTGTAGAATAAGCCAGACGATAATCGAGAGGAGCCTATATGTACAAAACTTGTCCTACACTACAACAATTGGGCCATCTTCTTCAGAAGGTTCTTTATAAATGAGTAAGCAGTAAGAGTATTAACAGTAGCAGTAAGAGTATAACATTATTGTATTTAATACAGAGAACTAGACTTTTCCGACAAAAAATTTCTCACGTATGCAAAGAATATTTTACATTCCTTGTGTAGCGAAATCGACAAACTTTGCCACCAAGGTTGATTGAATCCTCCAAGCAAAAAATTCACATCTGAAGTAATAAAGTTATCGGAAGCATACTATAATAAAACGAAATTCTTAGTAATATTTAAATTTTCTAATTTACGTTCAGCATCTATATAGCTACATACATTTTGTATTACCAATGGCGTCGTTGTCACACATCAACCAACAAGTTCATGTCTAATGATAACGGCAGCTTCATTTATTTTTCAAGTCAGCCGTAGCAGACTAAGATTCCAATCTTTGACAGAACTACATGGTAAAACAAAACATAAATAATGCAATGGTAAACTGTACATTTCATGCTAATGAAGTGACCTACCAACCGTGCTGGTGAAGTTTGACATTTTTGCTGCAAAGTCTATAAAATCGGCAATAATTTTATTTGTCGTTTGTTAATAAATAATTAGAACCTTAAACTTCTTCAATGGTTCAAACAAAGTTTTTGGAGAAGTACCGCGTGCAAAATCTGTTAATTCAATTTCTGTATTGCTTTATTGTAATAATCTTGAAATTATTTAGTACACATTGTTTATTAAGTGTTCTTTATAACTTAAAGGTGACATTTAGTTGTTATTAAAATATCCTGTATTACCAAACACAGAAATATTAAAACCGTTGAAGAATATTTTGACAATGTATAGCAACCAGCCATTTCAACAGATAGTGAGAATCCATATTTATGTAATTAATAATGCGCAATTCCTCATAAATGCCAATGAAAGCAAAACAAAAATGACGAACTATTAGTTTCGTTTGCTAGAGCTTCTATTCTTCCACTGAAATTCAACAGCTGAAATAAAGATGGAACTCGTACGTAGGTAATAATTAG